AGGGACGCCGGGAAGAAGGCGCCCTCGTGCTTGCACCGCAGCGACACGAGGCCCGGCGGCTCGAGGCCCCGAGCCGCGTACGCCTTCGCGACCGCGAGGTTCAGGTGGCCGTTGCGCGCCTCGGCGCCGAGGAGCGCGAGCCAGTCGCCGTCGGCGTCGCGCGCCGAGAAGGGCTTCGCGCCCGGCGGGTGCGCGAGGGGCAGCAGGGGCAGGCCGTGGCCCCAGTGCTCGCCGGCCGCTTTGAGCAGCGCCGCGTCCGCCAGCACGTTCGCGGAGCTCCCGTGGCGCCGCACGAAGGCGTCGAAGGGCGCGAACCACTCGAGGTCGCTCGACATGAAGACGACGTGGCTCGGGGCCGCGCCCGCGCGCGCCGCGAACGCAAAGTTCCGGAGGTGCGCGTGCAGCAGGCTGCCCTCGCCCGTCCGCGTGGGCACGCAGTCCGGGTTCAGCCGCGCGCGGGGCGGCAGGGCCGCCGCGAGCGCGTCGCGGCCCGCGGCCGTGCACCAGCCCCGGCGGCAGCCGCAGTCGACGTGCGCGACGAGCGCGCCGGCCGTGAAATTGAGCGCGTTCGCGGCGAGCGCGACGACGTGGGCCGCCGACTCCGTCGCCGCCAGGGAGACGAGGACGCCCCCGGCCGCCGCCGCGGGGAACGGCGCACCGCGCGCCGACGCCGCGCAGCAGCCCGCCGCCGTGTCGCGGGCGCAGGCGCGCGGGTCGGCGACGCGGACGCAGGTGTTGGACGACGCGTTCGAGAGGCGCGCGTGCCAGGCGAGCAGCGCCCGCGACGGCTCGTCGCAGACCGGCGACTCGCGGGCCCGGCACCGGGCGACGACGAGGAGCAGTATGGGCAGCCCATAGTTCGAGCGGGCCATGCCATGCGCTTTATTACCCGTTTCGTTGCACATCACTTGCACGTCAACTCTCCGTCGGGGCAGCCATGCGATGCTCTCGTTTGCGCTGCTCCTGACGCGGGCCGTCGCCGCCAACGACGAGCCCTTCGGCTCCGGCGTCGTCGTCGGCCGGCCGGCGGGCGCCGCGCGCTACTTCACCGTGGTCGACGCCGGGCGCCGGGGCCTCGACGCGCCCGGCGCGGTCTGGGTGCTGGGCCGCACGGGCGACTGGCCCGACGCCTTCCCGCACAGCGGCACGCGCATCTGGCTCGGCGCCTCGTCCCACAACCTCCTCGGCCCGCCGGCCGCGGACCTGCCCGTCGACGAGAACGCGAGCGCGAACCTCGGCGCGCTCGCGGGCCCCCGCGGCCTCGAGCTAGCCGGCGGCCTCGAGAACCTCCAGGTGCCCGAGGCCCGCCGGGGCATCCGCGTCTTCGAAGCGCCGACGAAGGCGGCGCTCCTCCGCGGCGCCTTCGCGACGTCGGCCACGATCCGCGGCGGCGCGCCGGGCTGCCTCGAGCGGCGGCGCGTGCCCCACAGGGCAGGAAAAGGGTGATTCAACGTCGCTTCAACGTGATTGTTCCGCGCGCGCGCGTTTCGGAAACAGCATCCACGCTTCGAGAGCGCTCCGAGGGATGATCGCTCGTCCCAAAATCAGCCGAAACGAGTGGAAAACGACCGAGATAGGAGCCTTTGAAGTTGGGAATTTCGCACCCTTTTCCTGCCCAGGTCCCGCACAAGATCGCGCCGGGCGTCTGCGAGTTCGACGGCCGCGTGTCCCTCGCGCGCAGGGCCGACGGCGACGTCTTCCTCTACGCCCGCGCGAACCTCCGCCAGAAGAACGGCGGCCGCTACGTCCAGGTCGCGCGGCGGCGCGGCGGCGGCGGCTGGCTCGGCTTCGCGCCGCTGCAGGTCGACGGCTACCCCTGGCAGCAGTGCTTCGACCGCAACGTCTACTTCGCCGCCGTCAACGCGAACCCCGCCGACACGTCGACGCTCCTCGCGCTCATGCCCGTCAACGACGGCGCGCGCGCCTTCGTCGGGCTGGCGCTCTCGTGCGACGGCGCGCGCTTCTCGGCGCTCCGGCCCGTCCTCGCGTCGACCATGGCGCCCTACGGCCGGTCCAGCGACCACCCCGCCGACGGCCTCCTCGAGGAGCCCAACGGCGACGTGTCCTTCTTCGTCCATCGCGACGTCCCCGGCATCGCGGAGCCCGAAACCGCGGCGACGCTCGTGCGCCTCTCCGTGCCCCGCGGCGACCTCGCCAACTACACGGCCCACGCGAAGCGGACGCTCAAGCGCCGGGGCTGGTGCGACGACGGCGGGGCCTGGCCGCCGCCCCGGCCGCCGGGGCCCGACTGGCTCTGGGGGCCCCAGGCGCGGCGGCGGCGGACCGCGCGCGCCTAAGATCGGGCCTCGAACCAGCGCGCACAAGGAGGGTCGGGTTAGCGGCGGAGTAACATGGCCCGCCGGCGGGCCGGAGACGGCGCGTTCGACCTCGCGGTCGCGCGCCGCGCGGCCGGGTCGTCGGGACTACCAAAAGAGAGGTTCGACGAAAGCAATGACGGAAGACGTCGGGAGGTGGTGGATTGATGCTAATTCGACGAGGTTCACCAGGCCGCGAGCCCGGCCATGCGCAGCGGGGGCGGCGAGCCCGAGGGCGAGCGCGCCACGGGCGGCAGCGGCGGCGAGCGGGGCAGCGGCGGCGAGCGCGCGCCCGCGCTCTCGGGCGACACCCGGCTCGACGGGGCCTCGGCGACCATGGGCGCGCGGGGCTTGGCGGGCAGGATGGGCCGGCCGCCCGCGCCGAGCGGCCGCGCCTCTCGCGCGGCGCTGTACTTGGGGCTGAAGCAGGGCAGGTCGAGCGTCGCGCCGGAGAGGCTGCGCGTGTGGCGGGGCGGCGACACCTGGCGCTGGTGGGCCTCGGCCTCCCGCTCCGCCGGGCGCGGCGAGTCCACGGGGCGGGGCAGGTTCGGGCGCAGGCGCACGTGGGCCCGCGCCTTGGACATGGCGAAGGACTCCATGCGCGGGGCGGCGGCGTGGTGCGTCGCCGACGGGCGGCGGCGGGGAGCGGCGCAGGTCTCCATGGCGCGCGCGACCCGGTCGATCCTTCTCGCACGGAACACGACGCGGACAGACGACGCCTCTCCCTGTTGCCAAGCGCTTGAATTTGGGGCTGCGTCCGTTCCAACGCATCGCAATCTTCAGGGTTCGCACGGTGAAGGCCTGGCGGCTGCACGATGCGCAGCCCCGCGGCATTCCTCCCGCGAAGCGATCCCTAGTCGAACGCGAAGCGTCGTTCATGGGCGCCGCGGCGTCGCTCGCCGAGCGGCACGTCGAGGCCGACATCTCCCTGGCCGACGCCAAGGCCCTCGTGCCGCCCGGCGCCTGGGACGACCGCTGGGACGGCCAGTTCGGCGCCGCCGCGGGCCGCGTGGACCGGCGCGTCGGGCTGGCCCTGCTCGCGCGGCGCCTCGAGCACCTCGGCGGCGCGCGCGACTGGGCGGCGGCGCCGTCGCCCGTCGGCGCGCAGGCGGCGGCGGCCGCCGCCGCGGTGCGCGACGTCGCGGCGCTCGCGCGGGCCGGCGGCGGCGCGGCGCTCCTCGCGTCCGCGCCGCCCCTCCGCGCGGCCTGCGCCGAGCTCGAGGCCGCCCTCCGGGACGCGAAGCTGCGCGACATCGAAGCCGCGGCCGCGCGGAGCATGGGGGAAGCGGTCGACGGCCTCGCGGGCGCGCGGCCGCCCGCGGCAAAGCCCGCCGCGAGCGGCGGCGACAACCTCTTCTTCGAGTGCCTGCTCGCCAACGGTGGAGCGGGACAGGGACGCCGCGCGCGCCGAACTCGCGGCCGAGCGGCGGCG